AACCTTGGTGCAAAATGAGAGAAAACTTTCTTTAATTGATACCCCTCCCCCAGCCATGTTTAAAGGATCTTACAGGAAAGCCTCACACTAGACTCTTTCGTGGTCTGTTAGTAGAAATTTATCATCTGAATTAGAGAAACAGTATAAGCAGAGTGTTTCTCCCAAAATATCATTGAAATTCTATATTCACAGAAACTGCTCTCGAATTTTTTTATCAGACAAATCTAAAATGGTGCTTAGTGTTCAGTTATCTGCCAGGTATAAATGGCATAAATGGATGATTACTTTAAATACATCTTCTCTGAGAAGGGAGTTATGGGACCTCACAAAAGCATCAAGCTGTGACTACTTTCAGGAAATCACCTGGAAATAAATGATGAAGGTTGCTTGCATGTCCTTACATTCTCATTGCCTTTTTAGCCAGATAATTGAATTCAGTGTAAGCTGCAATTCATTTCTGGTATCACTAAGGATTAGATTATTTAATATTTGGGAGAAGAGACTGAATGACCTTTCAGTCACAGCATCTATGATTATAAATTCTCATGGCCCCTGTCACATGGTTGTATCCATACCAAAATAAAGAGGAAGATTTTAGCATTGTTGAAATCGGAAAAATTTTGATAGTAGTTTCACCAGTAAGAGGGTTTCACTTGTTCACTTTTCTAGGCCACATTTGAATTTTACCACATGACCTGTTGAGCTGACCAAAGTCAGAATAGCTATTTTTGAGCAGATATTTTTAATAATTCTAATAATAATTTTTCATATTCTAAGGAGAGTAAGATTTTTTTCCATTCACTTCAGTGTAGGTAGAATCTCAAACAAAGTAGAGATTTCTACCTCAGTAGAGTTGCTACTGATTGTGGTAGTGGATGGGTTTGGAAAAATCTTGGTTAATGTGGTCAGGTTGACGCAGTTCATGCAGGTGGTGGCTGCCCTCTTGTTCTTCTCCATCTGGGGCTGCGGAGTGCTCAGTGTGGCTCAGGTCCTACATCCTGTAATGAGGTACAGCAATGGACATCTTCCCCAAGCACATCAGATGCAAATGCCATTATTTTTAATGCCTGGTTGGAAGTAATTTTCAAACATTTCTATTCCCAATTAGTTGAGTCCAGAGGGCATTATGAAATCTGTCCTGATTGTGCAAATTTGTTTTACACTGACTGGTTCCATAACTGATCTGAACTGTTTTGGAATGTTTTTTAATAAATATAAAAATTATTATTACTTGAATTCCTCATACAGCTGGGTCTTTGCGCCATTCACAGCACAACAAATCTTACAAATAAAGCAAAGAATCCGTGGGACAGTTATCCAGCCAAAGTAGTGGGAAGTCACAACATGCATACAAGGCCCTTTCATCTGCCCTGTGATGTTTTTAAGCTTCTAGAAACTTGCTTCATCTCACTTGGAATACAATTTGAGTTCGGGTTCAGACACTGAGGATGCTTTCAGACAGTACTCAGCAACCTACATAGCTGTTATGAAGTGACAGAGAAAACTTTTTTCCCTTTTTTACCATTCCCAAGAGAATGAAGGCCAGCTGTCTGTCCTGCCAGACTTCTGCAGTTACTAGGCATTGTCTCTCATGCCTCTCCCCTCAGAGCAAAACAACCAGAGAAATAGGGTAGCTCTCACTTCAGTTCAGTAAATCCACTGCTGGAGTTTTCATCCATGCTGATTGCACTTGATTTCTCTCCTGCTTTTCTCCCCACTTGACCCCATGATTACCTCTGACTGGCTCTTCCACTGGGGCATCTTCAAGAGGAGGAGTACCTCCAACCACAGAAATTACTTGAGACCAGAGCCTGTAAAACAGACAGGCTCCCCTTGCTCAAAAGGGAGGAACCTCATTCCATATATGCTGCATGGATGCTCTGAACCGGAGATTCACCATCATTTTTCTTACTGAGCTTTGTACTTTGTGGGATGCCTGATCTGAGAGGTGTTCTCTGAAAATGCATGTCAGGTCAGGCCTGGAAGCAGGGGGTAACATTTTGTTTGCAAATCCCAAAAGAGCTTAGATGTGATTTAGGTGCTTGGAGGCTCACACTGTTATGACCTTGGCAAGTTCAGGGGCAATATTTAGAAATTTTTCTGGCAGAGAAATAGGCACCTCCAGGCATATGCAGCAGCTCAATGCAAATGGTGGTTCTGAGAAATACAGTGGCAGGTAAGTGGTGCTAGGTGAGTAAACTTTTTTCTGAATCTAGTCCAAATCCACTGCATGCAAGTAAGGATAATATCTGATATGCTGGAACAGTGATCTGAAGGAAGTGTGGACTTGAAAAGAAAGAGGCTGATAAAGCCAGGAGAGATCCAACTGAAGAGAAAAAAAACCCTGTTTATTGAGCTTGTCCAGTGAGGATTATGCAGCAATATTTAATCCTTTGTTAAAAATCAGACCCTCTGCCCTTGTAGACTACATTCAGTTACAGAGAAGGGTGGCTAGAATGTGGCTGTCAGAGTAGATTGTGTCCTGAGGGTGAGCTGAACTCTTACACTGTGTTTATATAAAAACAGAAGCGGTTCTTTTCCTCCCTCCATACCTTGATGCATAGAATTGCTGCAAGCTGGGTAATTAATCTGGTCTGTGCCTGCTCATCAAATCTTTCTTGTGGTAAAACATCTCTAGTCTTTTTAAGTAAAAATTCTTTTCATTTTGGAGAAAATTGCCTTGTGTTTCAGATTTGGGGTGATCCTACAGGATAGGGTAGATGCACCCTGCTGCAGACTGCTGCCCATTTGAGGGCCAGAAGCAGTGTCTCCTGCACTCTCTTGGCCCTAGGCATGCAGGTGGACCTGGGCAGCCAGAGCCCTTCGTGGGAGCTCAGCCCTGCCCAGCTCATCTCTCACAGCTGCATTGGTGCTGTCCTGACAGTGCTCTATGGGCTGCCACAGCCGGGCTGCCCTGAGAGCTCAGAGTGTGCCTGTGACCTGCCTTCCCTCCTTCCCCCTTGCTGAGGCTGGGGCAGTCCATACGGACACCCTTCCCAAAAGTACTTCGAGATTTGATTCATGCAGCCAGCATCTATTATAAATCCTGTGGTAGGAATGTTACCGTTTGTATTTTGAGTTAGGTGAATCTGGGCAAAATACTACATCTTATCAATTACCAGAAGCAAAGCTGCCTTTATTGTTGCTAGCAAGACATGTTTTTGTTCTTGGCCTATCTTTTGTTTTGTGTGGCATCTACATTTTGATGTGGAGATCTTTTACCAAATACATACAAATACATCTATCCTCATCAGAATGGTTCATGTTGGATGCAGTATGTTCGTGCATTGGTGTTCTGGAAGAAAGCAGATTTTCTCCATGATATATAGTTGGATTCACCTTAACCCCAACAATGGATGCCACTGTTGTTGCTTTTCTCTGCACACTCTAGAAGAAACACAGGGGAAGAGCAGACATAAACTAGATTTTTCAGACAAAGTCTTGACAGAACAATGGATGAAATGAGTCTCTTCAAGGTTTCTGTGTCATCAAATGTTACTGTTGACATTCTGAATGTAGCAATAGTTGTTACACTAATTAGAGTGGTGTAGTTCTGGAAACAGGAACTGTGAAAAGACTGTGTCTAGAGGGTACTAATAATCTTTTGATACCTGTATTTTTGCCATTCTTTATTATTATAATGAGAGTGTTAATGTGCGAGGGAGAAATCATGTATGTCCTTAATAAAGAATGAAGCTGCACAGTTGTTATCATCTTAAGTACCATATTCATTTAAAATCAAGTAGGCAACTCAAAGGTTAAGAGGTTTAATGTTCCTGAACTGTACAATTGAAGTACTATAGTCCAGGTTATTGTTAGCAATTACTCAAAGTGCTTGGGGTTTTTTAATAGAAACTTCATTTTACAGAAGAAAGTCCCCCTGAACTTTAGCCAGCATTGCAATATGACCATTTAACTGCACAAAGTATATCACAAGATGCTGTCATGACATAATTTGCTCCCAACAGCTATTTGTATGCTGTTCAATAACCTCCTCAAACATTCCTCAGTCTCTCTAAAGTTTTCATGCCCCATATATTTCCAGTGAATATGGGAAACTTGAGAAGTTCTGTACTTAGCGATTAATGTAATATTCCACATTCATTCTTCCCAACATAAGAAATATGCCATTTGTTTGCAGCTTTTCCAAGCAAAGAAACAGACTTTACTAAAACAGAGAGTGTACCATAAGCCTACTACACTGTGTGAGAAGAAAACAACAAACACAGAATAAATGTTATGGTGAAGGAAATTGCAGGAAGAGAGGAAGCTTAGAGAGGGATTGCAGATAGTTTAGGAGTGTGTTAAATGCAAAGCTGAACTCCAGATATTTAGCACAGGCAGCCATAAAAGCTAATTGATGTAGATGCAGATGATTATAAAGTGGCATTCACAGTTAACCTTTCAAATTGGGCCCCCATAGTGAACCAAGAGAGTGGCCTACTGCTGAAAAAATTGTGTATGAGCCTGAATCTGCCCAAAGAACTTGAGAAAATGTTTTCAGGAATACTGCAAAAACTAGGAATTGCACCAGCAGAAGGATGACTATTTACCAAAAGACAAGATTCAGACTCTCTTGCTTACTTTTCATGTCTTGGATCCCTCCAGGATATTCTAGAAGCAACAAAACTGGTGGGTGTTTTGTATTACTTCTCTTCCACTTGATCAGTCACGGCTGTGTTGTTTTCTTTGGTCCCTTAATGGAGGCTTATTGCCAAATACATGTAATATGGGATGGGTGTTCCCAGTCAGGTTCTTAAATTCACGGCCCTCTACTTCAGTAGCTAATTTACAGTCTGGTGCCTACAAATCAAGACCTTTCAATTGTAACTTTAATCTGCTAACATGATTTATGGAAGCTACAGCTTAGATTCAATTTAAGCATCATCGGTCTGGGTCAGCCCTTGCTGAGTTTCTTTTTAAACTCTAACAAAACCCAGCTAAAGAGTGAATTCATTCCTGTTTAAGGATTCGCACAGAAAGACCACTAAGCCAAGCCATATGGGCATAGTTTCTTGCCTTTATTGATATGCACATCATTCCAGTTTTACTTTATTAGTTCAGAAGTCTGACGTTTCTTTAAACTTTGCTGTGATACGTGTTTGTGTTCAAAGCAGTCTCTTCATGTCAGTATGCAGCAGTCTTTCCAGATCCTTTCAAACCCATGCAAGAGAAGAAACCACAAGTACTTCTTGCACATTGTGCCCCGTGGGGAGAGGCTTCATGACATCTTTTGTTGGTCAACAAATCGTGGAGTTTAGTGAACTGAGATAAAAATTTATCTCCATAATACAGTTCCCTCTCTATTCAACAGAACACCATGTCTCAAAGTCAGCAGTTGAAACCTCTTTGCTATTACACGAGGACACTATTGGATGAGGCTGAGACACTGTTCCTTCAGGAGGGATAAAATAAAAGGCAAAGAAGAAAATAGGGCAGAGCCAGAATATGGAATGACAGATATCACCTTTACCAACGTTTTCCATGATTTTCCGTTACTTCAGTAATGGAGCCATGTAAGAATCCCTTAAAATGAGGTCCTGGCCTGTCTGCTCAAGTAACCTAGGAAACCAGGGTGGCTCCCCAAGCTTTGGCTTTCTCTTGCAAAGAAATCTTTCAGGTCCTTGCATTGGTCCTGCTAAAGGTGAGGGTTGGAGGTGCTGGACTGCAGCAGCATCACTCTAAGTAACAGGGGTCCATGATGATGAAGACTGTGCTGGGGACACTTTCTTCATTCAGTAAGTGTGACAAATCACCAGCATTAAAATAGGAAAACCTGAAGGAGAAAATAGCTGCCTGTGCTTCTGTAAGTAGCTGGTTCCCCTGACCTCTGGCATGATCCCATCCTAGTCAGATTGACTCATAACCAGTCCTGCTCATCCAAGCCACAGCTGCGTCAAGGCACAGTGAGAGCCAGTCAATCCCACCAACTTCATCTCTGTTTCATGACAGTTTAATCACCGAAGACTGTCTCTTTGTTGAAATATTTTCCCTTGGGTTTTGGAAAGCAGAATTATGTCAAGGCAAACAGAACCAAAAAGTGAAAAAGGCATTTGCTCTCACCTAAATTCTTTGGAGTTGATACAAAAACACCTCTTCTGTAGTGTTCGCAGCAAGCATGCATACATGTCATGAGCCCTTAACCTCATGCAGTCATAGCTCACAACTCAGCTGAAATGGCTGTATTTTACATTCTTCATTTTACTGCCGTCAGTGGTGACATAAGTTAGAGGATACAGCCTAGAAAATAGTCAGTCTCATCATACACGTCAGCTGAAGTAAAGAAAAGGTAACAGTCAGTGTGAACTGATGGCAAATATATTATTCCCTGGGCCATATTCACTCTGGTGAAAATCAGGAATTACTACTGAGGTATTCAGAGTTAAATTGCTCTGTAACCAGGCTGAGTGGGAACAAGGTCAGAGGAACAATTTCTATTCCATTGGTGCCTTTTTCAGGTTATAATTCTGAGTGTCCACTGTCATATTTTCGTCATCATATTTTTGTACCATTTGATAGTATATTACTGATGTGGCTCTGGTTGCTCTGTTAAGATTCATATAAAAAACCAAAATGGTGAGATAATAGAATCAAGTATGGAACACTGCTAATGTGGGACCTGAGTGTTTTCACCCTTCACTGAAAAAATCATCCAGAGATGCTTGTTCACAATTCACAGTTTTGTTAAATATAGCTAATCAAACCAATATTAATATACTCCAAAAAATCTGTCCTGTACACAATTAGCACTACTGTAAGGAAAACAATTTTTTTCAGTGGTGTTACAAAAATTATAGGTCGTTGTGCCCACCAAAGCTATTTTAGCAGAGCGATATTGTTAGCACTGGAACTAAGCCATGTTTTCATAGTCAAATGATAGGCCTTTTCTAAGGTCATGCCCACGCAGTACAAAGCCCACTAAGTGCTTCTTTGTAAAGGCTAAATGGAATTCACACTTTTGCAGGCAATCATTTTATTATGATCATATGAGTATTCACAATGTAATTTTTAACATCTTGTAAATAAAGCAGTCCAATATCTAAGGGCAATCATTATGTGTCAAATTGAAAAGCTTCTGATTTCTGGCTTTCACTTACAACATATAACATACCATACAAGAAAATGAACATTTGTTACCTTACTCTGGCCTTTCAATCATGTTTCTGGCTTACAATTTTGCAGAAAAGAAAAATCCACTTAAACATAATAGAAATCAAGGTATGACCTTTTCATAGCAAGAACTACCAACTCACACATAACATTATATATTATATAAATGGTGTGAAGCCTTTAAAGAAGGGACAGCGAAATGTCAATGCCTGAATTGAGGATACTGCTCAGACTTCACTGGCTGTTTGGTTTTCAGCACCTTAGATAAATCTAGACCAAAGGATGGCCACTTTCATTATCTGCCACAAGTGGATATTAACCCAAGTAATAGATGACCCATGAAAATGTATCTTTAGGTAATGCTAGGCACAATCTCTGCTCTACCCCTCAGCCTCTAGCCATCACCAGGATCTCTCTGCAGCAGGTGGCTTTCAAGGCATTATGAACAGCCACCAACATCCTCCAAAAGTTTGTTTAAACCTCTTCCAAGTCATGAGTGCCTCAGACCTCTGTGGCAGCCTGGGTGATGCCTTCCCTGCTGTAGCCACACAGGTATGGCAAAGGGCAGAGAGCTGCCAGCCGGCTGCTCTGTTTACATGGTCTAGCAGGACTGTCCAGCTGGATCTCAGTGACTGTTTTGTCCTCTCCTTGTAAGGAGCCGTCCTATGGAGAAATACTGTTAGATAGGCGCCTAACTAGCTGGCTACCATACCAAGGGGAAACTTCAGTCCTTCAACATTAAAGTCCAAATACAAAACTCACTCATGACAGGTTCTGTCTTATACACATTGCGGGGTTTTTTTTCCATTTAGTGAGCTGGGTGATGAAATATAAAATATGCTTACTACAGCTACAGATTCTATGATACTGCAGAGATTGCTTTCAAATTGGAGGACAGGCTGGAATCCAGATTGATCTGGCAAGCTGAAGAAATTGCCTGAAAAAAAAGAAAAAGAGAAGATTTAATAGAGTCATATGCAAAGTATTAAATTTAGGTAACCATGATCAAGCAAAAGCACAAGATGGAATAAAATTGATTAGGGAGCAGTTCAGAAGACAAGGCAGGCATTAAAATGGAGCACAGGCTGAGTAAGTCAACCCTGTCACACAGTGGCAAAGAAGTCTGACTTTGTGTTAGGTATCTGAAGAATGCTTCTCTTGGGGAGCACAGCTTGCTGGGCATCTGCAGGCATCCTTCTGCTTTACAAAGCACTAGTCCTGCTTCAGGTGCAGCAATGCACTTAAGTTTGGCTACTGCACATCAGGGAAAGTGAGGACCTCTCAGAGACATCCCAGAGGTAAGCAATCCAAAGAATCCTTTGAGGAGCGACTGAAGAAATGTCAAGAGGTAGGTTACAGACTCCAAATGGGAAACACCATCAAACATGCAAAAGGGCTTTGCCAAGAAGCAAAACATCTGATCACTGTTTCTGTGGTGACAAAAAGCAGCAACACATTCTAATTGTAGCCAGAAAGACTCAGGCTAAGCACTTTCAGAAGAATCTTTCTAACACTGCAGGTAGTGGAGCACTGAGGTTGGTTGGCAAAGCAGTCAAGCAGCTGTTGCAATAACTCTTATGGACCAATTGGACAAGTGTGTCTCAAGGACAGCATGGAAATGTTGAGTTGGCCTTCTGGACTTCAAAGCCTTCTCTTTTAATTAAAAAAATAAGCCTTCCAGCCTTTTCTTTTTATTAGCTTGGATGTGAATCCTTGTCCATGGGGACTTACTCACATAGAAAGCCTTTGCAGGACAGCTTCTCAAACTATCCTGGGAAAGCAGATCCAACAAATAGGCAGCAGGGTTATTTCCAGTATGTCTAACAGGGATGAAAAGCAGCTCTGAAAGACAGGAGCCTTGTCCTTAAATGGACCTCTGGATTGGTTCATTCTTCAGGTTTAGCGCATCACTGGAATTAAAGGCCAGCTTTTTAAAGGACTTTTGTGGTATCACAAATGAGAAAAAAACCCCTTTGCTTTCCTTTTTTTTTCTGAACACCATAATTCATTAATCTTGCTACCACAGTCAACTGGCTCAAACCACATTGCATATATTAGTGGCATCTTTGCATAAAAATTTTTATTATTTTGTGACACAAAATAGCGTGACACAATCATTCCTGTTTGTTGCAGAGCATGCCAGGGAAATTGGGGAGACAGAATTTGTAGTGTCTCCATTACAAATCTCATGTTTCATGGCTGGGAAATACAGAATTTATACAGATAAATGGCAATGAACCATAACTAAAAGATGAAAACATAGGTCCAGAGTCCCCAGCACCATTAAGTGTCAATAGTACATCAAGTCTGACCCAAGAAGGGAAAAGTATGGCCTGCCTTCTCAAAAGGGCTTACCATTTTAAAAGAATCTCACCATCTAAAAGGGATCTTCACAACTAAATATGCCATTTTTCATTTTTGTGCACATACAGATCAAGGGAAGGCTGTGAGTCCATGGCTTATAAATACTTCTTAATCTCATTTTCTTTAGGAAGTGCTAAGATCTGGTCTCCTTTACTTCGCCTTCTATTATTTATTTTTGAATCCAAAGCCTCTGTTCTTTAGAAGATGGGAAAAGTTGCTTTGAAGTTAATTTTATATGTAGAAGCAAATCCTGACCATAAAAATGCTGTCAGAGGGTCACATCACTGTCAAGAGATTGAGCTGTGCTGCCATTTCCTAATACTGGGGATAAGGCAAACTCCTTCCACCTTGATCTGAGATGTAAAACTTACTCAGGTTTTATGGGTTAAAAATTGTAGAATGCAAATTAAAATTTGGGAGGACTTTTTCCTTTGTTATTATCAGCATTCCTGCACCCAAATTCTCCAAGAGTGCCTCTGAACTTGCATTTTGCATGACTATGGCTTTGTATTTGTGGTGTTACAGCTGACATCACACAGATGGTTTTATCACAACATCCTGTATCTCTTTCCCAAAGAGATCCCTCTATATAGGATGTTGTGATAAATGGTCCCAATGGACCACCAAGTCCTTTGCAATCTGAGCTCTGTTTCCTCACAAACCTCTCCGTTTTGTTGTGCTCTCCTTGCAGCAGTGACCTCCAGGAGCACTTTGGTTGTGCCAGAGCAGTGACAGCATCTCTGCCCCGACACTGCCAGTGGGAGAGCTGGATGTAACCAGGAGCTGTTTGGTTTCCTGAGGAAAAGAGAACACTTCCAGGAAAAAGAAAGCTGAAGACAAAACCAGGCAGAGGGGAACATGTGAACCCTAGCAACCACCACAGCAGGCATGCTTTGGCACTGCAGGAAGGGCAGGTGAGAAAAGCAAATGGGCCCTGTTGTCTGGATGATGCCACACAAACCAGGGAGGATATACTCTTCAAAATGGACAAAAATAGCATCCAAAGTCAGAGCAATAGTAAGCTTTTTGGTACAGAAAGTTAAAAGTATGCATTGGCAATATGATCAAAATAGGCCAGTCTGTGGCTGGCATATCTATTTCTATCACAGCTAGCATATGTGTGTGCATATGGGTGGATATTTGATACTACACTCCAAAAGTGAGTTACTTGCACAAGTATTGATGTCTTTTCATTACAGGCAACAAATGCCCTTGCAGAATCAGACCCAAAATCACTCATAGCTGCTTCTATGAGGTTTGGTCACTATGACTTATTCTTATATAATTTTTCTTTTATTTTAAAATGTACGCTTGTCTGCTTCGTGATGCATTTTTCACCATTTCAGTTTCCATCTTTTTTGGACATCCTTAATGGATCAGTAGTGAAGCCACCAAAATTAAAATGAGTCATATTTCTTAGCATAGTTTATAAAGAAAAATGTTTAACCTTACATGGTACACCTCAGAGCCTAACTGAAGAACAGCCTCAAACATTGGTCTTTTGGTAAAGTTTTAAAAACAGCAATTTAACACACACACAATGCAAACACATTTCTTAAGTCTCTCTAATTTTCTGCTATTTCTCTGAGTTCACTGAATACACATAAAGTGCTTGCACCCAGATCAGTGGCATGCCAGAAATGAAGCATCTCCAGTCCTATGTGGGCCAAGTCCCCTGTCTACCTTTCCTTGGGAGTGCCAGTCTGAAGGTATTTCCCTAAAACTCTCGCTTCTGCCTTCAAGTCGCCTTTTCCAAGTGACCTAATGCAGTGAGGAGAAGGGGGGGTTTCTCTCCCTTATAGAGAAAGAAAACCTCTCAAAGCTCTCCTAAGTTCATAAATTCTCCTAAGTAAATTTATGTTCACATTTTACCACCAAACAAGTGGCTATTAAAAAGCAATGTCATCCACACACTCTATTCCCCTACAGCTCCCCACTTGCATCTCCCTGTTGGCTGGGTGTACCCATGCTCAGCCACAGCCACACCACAACCTCTTCTCCAAAGGTATGGTCCAGATATTTATCCCTAAATGTGTCATTCATAGAAAGCTTTTACATTCCTTGTCAGGCTCCCACAAGGTTAAAAGGACGGTACAGAAGGGATGAGGTGAAAAAGGACATCCAAGATGGCCCAGACCATTGGAGACAGGGATGATATTGGCATGTTCCCAATTTAAAGAGTCTCTTACAGGGATAAGAGACTCTCTTCCTCCTGAGACTGTCCAGGTGCTCTATCAGTGATGCAGCCAAAAAAGCATCACAATTTAAATTCAATCAGTAAGTGAGAGTAGCAGGATTGTGTCAAGGTGAGGGGATTGACACCTACTTTGGGGTGAGAAATGCCATGTGGTGTGTCTGTGTCCACATGGAGAAGGGCTGTGGTTTCTGAAGCTTCAGGTGGGCACCCAGAGGTAGTATGACTTGCATTAGAAAATACTTTGATGTGTTGTAATTTGGTTGCCTTCAGCATGGAAATCCTTGTTATGGTGGTTCTGTATTTTCATTTGAAGGTGCATTAAACCATTTTATTTTTCAGATCTATCAGATAAATGGTAGAACATAGCTTTAAGCAAGCTGGTAATGCATGTTTTAGGTTACTTTATCTCTGGGAATGGGCCAAAGTGGTTTCTGTCTGTGTGCGTGTGCCTGTGTAATTAGCCCGCAAAATCAGACTCAGATAAAAATAACCAGGAGATGAATGTAAATAATCAGGGCCATGATACACATCACTCCCAAAACGTGATTCCCATGCACTGACAAAACAGGGACTGTAAAAAGTTAGAGAAATCTCAACTTTCATTTCAATCCCTGGAAAACACTCTGGGGGAGCATAGATACTTTCTCACTTTAGTACCTTTCTAAAAAGGGCAGCAAAACAGAAAAGCTGGACCAATTTCCATGCACAAAGTGTCTAGGGTACTAAAGCCAGTGGCAGAGTCTAGGCAGATGTTGAGAAGGGAGGCCATGGGTTGCAGAAGTTGCAGGTTTGGAAGCAAGTTGTTGCCATGGAGGACCCCAGAGGGCATGTGGCAGCTCACACGTCCTATCCCAGGTTAACCAGCAAGGAGTTCAAGTAAAGCCAAGCTCAGGTCATCTGCTGACAAAGAAAACTTTTATATCCAACCTGTCTGGACTGCACAGCTGAGTCTGGGCACACTCAGGCATTTGGCCATCCCTCCCAAGCACTCGAGGTACATCTTTGCCCCATGGGCAGCATCATGGCTTGCACCTCAGGTAATGCCTACAGCATGTGGACATTCCTTCCTGCAACCAGGCAGTCTTGTGCATGCAGAGTAGCCTCTAGGAACCTCCACCCAACATTTTTTTCCTTCCCTGCAACAGGGCATGGCTGTGGCCAGAGGTGCCTCCACAGAGCTGATAGAAGGCTTGTGGAAACAGATCTTCAGCCATCCTACTCTTTTGTCACCTCACAGGATCCAGGACACATTGTGGCAGTGCAGGCTCCTGCTGCCACTGGAGTTGTATTGCCGTTTGTAATGATGGAAAAATTCAAGGGCAAACTCTGGAGGGCAGTCTCCCAAGACACTTTCTACAGATACTTTCCTGGGATGAGGTCAGAGAAGCTGTAAGCAGCCACTGTTGGCACACCAGGGCAATGTCTCATGCTGTAGGGAGATGGAAGGGAATGGAAATACATGGAAACATGATGCTGTCAGAAAGAACTATAGCTGTAAAGTTTCATAGTGTGATTTGTGAAGCTGACAACACCTGCCATAAGTCACAAAACAAAACAGAAATGTGTGGGAACTGTAAATCTTTCTGAGCACAATTAGTGTAAACCCTTGTTAAGTTTTTTCACAAAGAAGGACAAACATCATAGAAATTCCAAATATTGTTTTACTGTTCCTAGCCTTGTCTCTTCTCCAAACAGTAGTCTGGAGACCACCTGAGAAAGGACACTTTATCTTTCCTCACTGCTTCTCACTCTATTATTTTTATCCTCTTTTTATTTTTTTGCACAGGAAGGTAAACCTTCTTTTTGAATCCCAAGAGGAAAGGCACAAACACTTTCAAGACAACTGTTAATACAGTAAGAGGTAGGAGACAGGGAGTTATAAAACCCAATGCCTTATCCCATGATGGGGAGCCTGAGATGGTGGGATGGGCTGTGGTGAGTCTGCAGCTCTACATTTCCATGTACTTTGACACTGCCCAGCCTGTGGTACAGGTTCATTTGCGTCTCATAGGAAGAGAGGCTGAGTTCCAGACCAGCTGGGTGAATCCCTGACCAAGCTGATTTTCCACTTGCCCTGTGTTTCCACAGCAGAGTGATTGCTGACATCAGGAACTTCAGAGAAGGCGCAGCAGAGCAGCCTGGTTCTGCTGACTGGGAAAGTGCCAAGCACAGAGAGGCTGACCTGGCCTTTCCAAGTCAAACCTCTCCATTACCTCCTGTGGGTCACAGCCCATGTCACACTGGCTAGCAGAGTACAGCAGATCTTGTGGGAGGATGGGACTGTGTATGACCTATGGGCTATTCAAGGGTTGCTTCAGCCCCAGAGAGTGGATGGGAATAGTGCTGACATCCTCTTACATCATTTGGCCTGCAACAGCCCAGCTATATTTCATTTTCCTATAGGAGAAGAATAAATAGATGGCACTACTCAAAAACATCCCTTTTTCCACTGGAATGACACTAAGTCAGTCCAGTAGTTCTTGAGGTTTATGCTCAGCTGTAGTTTTGCTTGGAATCTGAACATCTCTAATAATAGAATGTGCGCGGGGGCGTAAACGGCCCTGGAATCCGGCTATCTGGTGAGGGGCGAAGGCCAGGGCCCCTGCGCATCAGAAAACAGCCCCCCTCGGCGTCTTTGGCCTCGGGCTGAGCTGGGGGATAGCTCGGAGCAGCGCGGTGAGAGACGAATTAGGAGGCGACCACTTGCTGGGGGTAAACTGTCGGTTTATTACAGAAGAACCAACAAGGAGGGGAAACACCCAGCAAATAGCCCCGAACAAGGGGCAGGAGAGGGTTTTAAGGGAAAAGGGGGGAAGAAGGCAGGGAAACCCGGCTATCCAATAGAAATACATATTTGGAGGTACGAAACATAACTGATATACTAAAGTAACCAACTGTTATCAATCATAGGAGGGGCTCCGGGGCTACAGCCAACCATACCTCCCAGAGAAAAGAAAATTCTCGAAACCTGGGAGGAGAAAAAGAGTGATTGACTGACCCCAAGGAGGAAACAACTTTCACTTTATAAGAGAAACCAAGGGAGGAGCAGTTTCATTTCCATAGCAACCTAACTGGCAGGGTAGCAGCAGGAAGTAATGCAGAAAATGGGGGGAGCAAACTAACGAACTTAAGAACACACCACAGCAAGAATGGACATCCCCAGTTAATTTTTGAAAGGGAGAAAATTGCTTGGTTTTTCCTCTAATGAATACCTCTGAGCTCCTGCACTGAAGGGCAAGGCAGGTGGTAAAAAAGAAATTAATTCTCTTCCTCTTTTTCTTGCGCCGTCTCCAACATTCTCACTCCCCAGTGCCAACAGCATGCCACAGCATTTTTAAACTCAGTCACCTGCTTCAAGACAGAGACATATTTTGAAGCAGCCATTGCACGTCCCCCTGCTCAGCTATGTACACCTTCAATGAGGTGTGATGTGGGATGTGGATTTGTATCCTGACACAATCGTGTTGAGGGTCTCCATGTGTACTTAACACTTACCGTCCACTTACCACTCAGGTGAGCAGGGTATGGAGTCATTTGATTGCCAGTATGACCAGCACTGCCAGGCAATGCTGGAGCACTTCTGATCACTTGTTTGCAGAGCCTTGTGCTCAGGACCCCGGGCAGGGCCATGGAGCAGCATCCCCCTGTGTGCAGGGTGATGGGATGTGCTGCATGTGCAATGCTGAGTGCTGTGCAGCCAGGCCCACAGACACAGTGGGACAGAGGGGCACAGGAGCTGCTGGCCAGGGAGGAGCTCTCACAAGGGGGTGCCTGAGCAGCACCCCTGGGCTCACACCCCAACACATCACTGACTGCCCATGAGAAAGCAGCTTGCCACCTTCTCTCACTATCAGGTGTTCTGCTGGCATGCAATATAGTGATGCTAACTAAGCCAAGGTTTCAGCATGGCTGTTTATGGACACACGTTTTATCTCAGGTTCTTAGGTAGATTTGCTGACTATAGATTGTTCAAGAAGCTTTATTGATTTAATAATTGTTATTGACCATTTTAAACGCTAAATATGATCAAGGCTTAATATCAGAATTATGACAGAGATATGTTATTGTTCAATGCATTGTAATTTAAGTAACAAGATTTCATCTGCCCATCTTATGAGTACTTTTGAAATAGAAATATTAACAGAAAGCTAAGTATTCTCAAATGCAACAGATTTACCCAAAATATTTATGTACAATTTACACTTAATTTCACAGTAAATTGCAAGCTGACTCCAAATCAATGGTCTGATTTGTTTTCTACCTGTGTTTGGAGATGCCATATGAACTAGTGGCTAAAGGAGACAAGAATGTATTAATGACATTTTACAAGTCCCTGGTGAGAATTCATCTCAAATGCTGTGTATCACTTTGATGTTCCCCTTTCATGAAGGAACTTGAATTGGTGCCCACGACCAAGCAGTTAGAATCAGTGACCCTGGAGTTATCTTTCCAGTCCTGTTGTCCTGTGTGCCAACTGGCATATGAGAATGAGCTGAATCGATTTATTTTTCACAACTATTCAAATAATTGCAAGAGCACAACCTCACTTCAAAGCATACGCTAGATTTAGCTGCAACTATAGGGCATCTCATTTGGGTTGAAATTACTGACTGGGATGTAGACAAGGACACAGCTGTGTTTCTGGCATTTGAAAATGCATTGCACTTGGATCTTGGTGAGGTGATTTCTCAATTCCACTGAATCACGGGTAGTTTTACCACTAGTTTTAATGTAAGATCATCACTTCTAGAATTAGCTGAAATCAGTGCTATTATCCATATTTACAATGATATTGTTGAGATCAGAATCTGGTCCTTGTTTTCCCTTTTGGTGAACTAATATATTTAGAAGCAGAATCTTAAATTCCTCTTTGTAAAACTCACATCTCCAGGCCCTTCTACAGCACCAAATTCTCTGTAAGCATCCTAGCTCTCCCAATGAAGATTTCACTTCCAAGCCTTCTGCTCGAGATCTTTCTTTCCCTGAAATGTTTATTCCCATTCAGGATGGAGTGCATGGAGTCACCCAGGGTGGAGCAAGCTGCCCTGTGCTGTCTGGTCTGTGGTAACCTCCATCCCTGCATATCAAAGGTTCCTGTCACTGTGCTGAGGGAGGCAGCAGCTTTTGCAAAGCAGCTACTGAGAAGGAACTTGCCAGGAGGGATGCAAGGCACAGAAGACACAGGCTCCTGAGGACACCAGAAGCGTAGGACCCAAAATAACCACCTGGAGTTGCTTATGCCTGTGTCTGGCCTTGCTGGTTTTACTCTTTCAAGGGCTCTTGGGCATGAGGGGTGTTTGTAGCATATAACCCTAAGCATCCCACCTAGTGACCAATGTGTGGTGGCAGCTGTTGTGGCCATTTTGGCAATGTGTGTCCGGAGCACCTGCAGCAGGCAGCCTTCCCTCCTGGGCTCGGTGCAGCAGAGCTGCCTGCCTTGCTTCATCCCCTGCACTGCGTGCCCTGGATTGCTCTGCGTGTACCCATGCACACACACACGTCCCTTCTCCCCTTTCACCTCCTCCCCTCGGGTCCAAATGGATCCATGAGTCACTGAGGGAAGTGTCCCTGATGACCTCACAGCCATAGAACCAAACATGAAGCATCAAAAAGCAACCTCATGCGGGAACTGGGGACCAAGCGAGCTGAAGCCCAACTGGTCAGATGTTCACATCTGGGGTTTTATCACTTTCACAGCATTTTCTAAGCAATAGTAGTTCTTCACTGGAAGAGTTTGACAGATATTCAGACTTGGATGAGGTACATAAAAATTTTCATCTGGGATATTATGTGATATGACTGACTGAACAAAATGCAAGTAACTGAATTGTCATAAGAGAAATGGAAATGTTATTTAAAGCTTAAAGGTTGTTTTTAATCTACAAATATATCTGGCACTGATTGTAATAGAGAAGTTTAATATGACCATTAAGCAGAAGTGTGAACTTTTGCTGTTGGTGCTGCTTGTACATCATTAAAAGGGATGGAGAAAGTCATTAGGGAAAAATTAAATTGTCATAAATACCAGCAATATTTCAGTGTCCATGTGAGGATGCATGTTGGTGTATTTAAATTGGTCAAGATTTTCTTCAATGTTTTCTGAGGCAGGAAAAACATTTCTTTCCATTTATATGACTTTTAAAGTAATGCTAGAAATTATTTTCAATAACACAAATACTACCCTGAATGGGAGCAGAGCTCTTGTGGTGCATTTGAGGGCAGTAAATCCTATTTTCTACCAAGATTAACAGGTTTTGCAGGCTGAACGTGCCTGAAGGCAGTTGTACTCTACACACCCAATTTTTTACAAAACACAGCAGGACAGGTTCATGTCTGGTATAATCCCTTTGCCTCCAGAACATTTCAGTCTTGGCAAATTGGTCTTAGAAGCAAGCATATGCTCCAGGTTTCCTGTCAGGGCCAGTTTTTCTTCTATTCCCCCTAGACCAGCTCCGTTTCCTGGGCTTGGACCTTTTCTTTACAGGGGCAGGACACTTGTGACACTTGACACAAGACAAGGTCGGCTCTGCGCAGTCCAAGCAAGAAAAATAATACTGATCTTCTTTCAGTGGAGAAATGGTGCAAAAATCAGGGATTGGCAGGATATCATGGTACAGACTTCATTCATAGGCCCTGTATGGAAGTGGTTTGGGCTGCAATCTCACCCAACAATCCTTTTTCTTCCTTGGAAAGTCTTCAGAGATCCAACACCTTTCCACTTGTGCAGGTGATCTCTTGTGCATCACAGGATGGTGTGAGCCGGACCAGGAGCTTCACACTATTTTAATGTGGTGGCCTCAGGTTTGGGTTCAGTTTGGGATTTGGAGCAACAGCTACCAGCTATCAGCTATCCACATGAAAATGTGGCCAGGTTTGCTGCTGTTTCCCTGGGTTGCGGCAGCCATCGTTCGTGGCTATGCATGCACCTCACTACTGCTACACCCATGCAAACTGTACCTCACCACGGGAAACGAGCTGATCCAGTTCAAATTCTCCTCTCTCCCTGTCAACACACAGAAATGAAGATAGAAACTGCTGCCTCCGTGTTGCTCAACACGCCGGGCATTTGAAAGGGCTTTTAGGTGAATGTGGAGCCAAAGTGTCTGTCTCCGCCCACTCTCCTTTTGCCAAAGAGGTAAGAGGGAAAAAAACCCCATAAATATAGTCTCTGTCATTGTTCTCTGATTTCAGTGGGTTGCTGGAAGTGTGTGTGTTCTGCAGAGTTTCTGCAATAAAGCACCTCCCTATTTTGGAGGGGAAGAAGTTCTTTTCTGAGCTTGCAATTGACTCAGAGACTTGTTTGTCCTGCAGGAAGAGTTGCAGGATTAACTTTGAATACTTTGATATTCAGTAATAAAAAGGACACACCAACATGAGGATTTGGGGAGGCTCAGTATGTCCTTCCTTCTTGCTTTTTACACACCTAGAAGCTGGGCATGAATGACAGATTGCAGCTTCAGTCCTGGAAACTGTCTCTTGAGGCTTAATCCAAAGACCAACAATGACATCATGAAAGCTGGTCCTGCTCCACTGAAAAACCAAGCAGCTGGCTGCAGGTGTGACTGCAGTCAGACTCTAATGGCCAAATTCACAGCAGAGAGAGGCTTCAGTGAGGTCAGCTGAAGCTGCCAAAGACAGAAGCACTGTAAA